CCCCCCCTGACTTTAAAGCTGGATCAGCCCCTGGATAAAATGCTAACTGGGGGAGCTGAAACTGGTTCAAAAGGCACAGGGAAAACATTTCAAGGATGTCTCCATGAAATTTTATCACCCTGACTGAACCGCATCGCAATTAGGACGTTTTGTGGGAGTTTACCGAACACATTTTAGTCGCCAAAAGACCATCAACGGGGACAAGGTTCATTTCAATGTTCACATCACTTTGGAACTTGGTTAAATAAGTCGATTAATTGGTTTTGCTTTGTTTTACTCAGTCAAATTTTGTCTATTTTCCTTCTTCGGAAGGCTGAAATGCGCCCCAGATTTTTGCAACTGTAGTTTCCAGCGTAATTAAAACCCCTATTTTAAAATCTCCGCGTTTAATGAAGGTAAATATGGAAGTTGGCCAAACCATTCTGCACCCGAGTATGAACCATTTCTGCGTTAAAGCTGATTAATGCTGGAAGGTCAGCGATTTGATTAACTGAGTGAAACTTTCTTTATCTGCTGCACCCATTCACATTATTGGAACCGCGGCATTACGAAGCAAACAAGCAAAAATTGTTGAAATTAGAGAATCTTATTAAAAAGTACTGCGGTTTTGCTCATCAATTGCCAACCCAAATAAAGCAAATCGGGCGTATATTATATGTATATATAAGGGTATAAAACTACCTTAAAAACTACCTTAAAGTATTCGTGTATATTTTTCAAGATCTGTGTGCATATGTGCATTTCCATGTGAATCAAGCCTTTCTGCTCAAAAACTCAGTGCAAAAGTATTTCCAATAAATCGCTCAAATGCCATCTTCTTTTCCCGTAATAAGAAAATGCAAATCGGCGAATTGCCATTTTCCACACTGTCTCGATACCATTTAAGTTGGATTATTTGCTCCCGAGGGCGCTCAAGTTTTTCGCGTGAAGCGAAGGGTTTTCGAAGGGCTTAATATTTGCCTTTTTAATTTTCAACCGCTTGGTGTTTGCCGAAAATCCGCCACAAAAATGGCTTCAATCAACATTTTTTTTAAATGGTTATTTAATAGGGAACTGGCCCTGATTTGCTTCTCTACAGCCCGAGTTAGTCGATTTAAAAAATACGTTTTTTCAGTTGATATTCCAGGGATTTTCCGGTGTTGGTTTTTAGAGTTTTTCATTCTCTTGCGCTCTGCTGCTAAAATTGTGTGGTTTCCAGAAATAATAACCCGAAAACCAGCACGTTTGTCGACGAAGAAAAATGAGTGGAATACTTAGACGCATAACATAAACAAGCTAAAATCCCACTGAAGTGATAGAGAAGTGTGCATAGACAACAAACTTGAAACTAATTGTTCATTGATCCGAAAGAGTCAACCCTTTTCACTCGAACAATGCTATCTTTGATCAATTTTAATGAGCATTCCATGCACACACCTCAACCTGCTATCCAACGGTTCATTTCCATTCACTATCAGGAAACACTTTAGGAAATTCGCAAAGGGCATAGGTGATGGAATCCGGGCAGTTTTAGAGTTAAATTGCTGGGAAAGCTTTGTGATAAATGTCGCCTTTAATCACAGTTTATTGCAGTTTTTAGGCTAAAATGGTTTGTGTCGCCGCCGGAATGAGTGCTAACGTTGGCCCAACCAAAACGAACTTGTTAAGTTAAGCACTGGCTAATTAACCCCCAATTCGATAAATTTTCTTATGAACGGCTCGCACGCAAAGGGTAATTTTTTTCATTTCAGTAGCACCTTTCTGATTTTTTCCTGATTATTTTTTGGAAGCATGCAAATAGTTTCACGTTCACACGCACGCAATGCAATGATAACCATCGAAATGTGGGCTTTGCTGGCTGGTTTTATTGAGTTATTCAAAAAATCCATCCATTTGCTAATTTTGTATGTATCCAGAATAGTGAAATTTTCCAATGAAATGAAAAAACCTGCTTTTCGGTCATTCTTTCGTGTGGGCTCGAAAAAATCGAATATCCGTTTCCCGGACATGCAGGAAGTTTTGACGCGAAACCAGCCCTGGATCGTGATAACCAGAACGTGCTTGTAATGGAAATGGTCGAGTCGTGGCAGGGACATTTTACACGAGGAAAAAAAGACAAATAGCGCCGTTTTTAAATAAAAAAGATAGTGTTTTCGTCTCATTTTTCCCGTAGGTTCATTTTTATGAGCAGCCAGTCCATTTGAACGATAAAATATCGGCTACGAACTGGGACATTGAACATGGAATTATGTGCGAAAGTG